GGTGGGGACAACAAGCCATAATGGGCTTATTTTATTCCCCGAAGATTCCAGTAAACATTCCAGTAAACATGTACATAGACATTTCTCAATTACATGTACTCGGCAAAACAGGAGACGTTTTTAGATCGATTCCATGCGAGTCGACAGTTCCGGTAATTATTTATTATAAGTACTGGCGGCCGCGATACCAAATAAAACCGGACAATTCCACGCGCACAGTATTCTCCACGTATGCGTAAATATACAGACTTCGTAAAACAACGTCAATTGTACTACGAGAATGCATGTAAAATACGTACGTATACGCTGCGTGCCACCCAAGGCGGGCATGTGCGAAAGAAACCATAAAAATACGTAGCGCATATGTACGTATATTCCACGATTTGTATACGTAATCATATCTGCGTATACTAAACGTATACCGCGAATATACACAAAATGTATATCTGCGTATACAATCGTATATCAACGATTTTGCCCAGTGTTTATTCGGATTTTCAGCCCTCAACTGGCTCAAGTGACTGGGACGGTGACAGTGGGTGTGACGAACTTGAAATTATTAATTAACAAATATAACTTCGTCGGCTGTGTGAAAAACAGTAATACAATTATCACATATTACCTCTTTTCTAACATCTAGCTTTAAATATTTGGAATAGTCATTTACAGTCTGCAAAATAATTTCTTCTGTTGATGGTACAGATGGTTTTACTTCATCTTCGTGTGTTGTTTCGCCCTCTTTCCCCTTACTGTCGGCCATTTTAAAATTGTACCCCTAGCTGCCCGTAAATTGGCAATGTCCCCTTAGTTACGTTGTATAATTTCGAAGCTAAGTAATATTTAAGGTAGCGAGAAGGGAAATTTTCACTTTTTTCTTGATTTTTCAAAAATTGATAAAACGGTTACTAGTACTTTAGACCTTGATACATCACCCCAGGTTTACAAAAGATCGAAATTGCGAAATAACGTTGCTCAAATTAGTGTTTTAAAACACTAGCACACAGTCACACACACAAGGTACATCATGTCACAAATATGTATGTGCATTTGTTTCATGATCCCATTAACGATAGCCAAATGGCGGCCGCTTTAAGGCCGAAAATGCATTGAAATCGCACATTTTCACCATTCCGGACCCAGATCTCAGTTATGCATGGACGGATTTCATTCAAATTTGGTACATACATTAAACATAATAGGACCTTGATGCACGTCATTTTTTTTTTCAGATCAAGTTCGAAATGGCCGACTGGCGGCCATTTTGTTTTAAAGAATTCAGTTCTGGATCCGTATCCGAGACATGTCTGGATTGATCAAGTTCAAACTTCACACACACAAGGTACATCATGTCACAAATATGTATGTGCATTTGTTTCATGATCCCATTAGCGATAGCCAAATGGCGGCCGCTTTAAGGCCGAAAATGCATTGAAATCGCACATTTTCACCATTCCGAACCCGGATCTCAGTTATGCATGGACGGATTTTGTTCAAATTCGGTACTTACATTAAACATAATAGGACCTTGATGCACGTCATTTTTTTTTTCGGATCAAGTTCGAAATGGCCGACTGGCGGCCATTTTCTTAAAGAATTCAGTTCTGGATCCGTATCCAAGACATGTCTGGATTGATCAAGTTCAAACTTCACACACACATGGTGCATCATGTCACAAATAGATATGTGCATTTGTTTCATGATCCGCTTAGCAATAGCTGAATGATGGCCATTTTAAGGCCGAAAATGCATTAAAATCACGTATTTTCACAATTCCAGAACCGGATCTCAGTCATGCATGCATGGATTTTGTTCAGATTTAGTACAATGTGTTGTACATATGCAGGTGCATTTCGGTCATGATCTGCTTTGAATGTATATGTCACTCAAATATGAACGGAACGGGGACGTGTCATTGACAATGACTTGTTCCAATTTAAGTTGCTTTTTAATCACGTATTTTTGTGAAATATTGTTTAGTGAGTGAAATATTAATGTCAAAAATAATTCAATCTTTGAAAAAACAGAAACTAACACATAATAACAATAATCAAATTTGTGTTTGAAGTTTGAAAGTACTTGCGTAATTTCCGGTTTCAACTACTTCAAAAATAGAATGTCTGGGAACGCGATAAAATCATGCGTAGAACTCCTTCCTAACCAGACACTAGCAGCGTAAACTTATTGCAAATTTGCGCAATTTTGGGGCCAGTTTGTTCTTGCAATACTTCTAGTTTCATTTAACATTATTTAGTAAACAGGCCCCTGAAACGATATAATATATCCGTAAAATATGTGCCAACCGGCGATTGACGATTCGAACAAACTCCCGGCACACCTTGCGCGATATGCGTCAGATTGGTGTAGAAAAGACGCCAACCTGCAGTGTCAATGCCGATCATGCCCATTTTTAGCTCCGCTGTCGACTTTGTCGAGCGGAGCTTATCATATGAGTGATTGTCCGGCGGCGTCCGGCGTCGGTGTTAATGTTTTACTTGTTCGACTTCTTCTTGAAAACTATAAGCCTGAATGCTTTGATACTTGGTGTATATGTACCTTGGGTAGACCTCTCTTAGATTTGTTCATTTCATGATGATATCTTCAATTCTCTAATTTTGATGAATATTTTTGTCATTTTTGGTAAAAAGTGATATTTTTGACTTCTTGTTAAAAACCGCAAGTCCAATTGCTTTGATATTACATATATAGGTACTACATGTGGACCTCTTTCAGATTGTTAATTTCGTGGTGATATCTTCAATTATCTAATTTTAATGATTATTTTGTCATTTTTGGTGAAAAGTGATATTTTTGAATTCTTGTTAAAAACAGCAAGTCTACATATTGTTCATTTTCTAATGATAACAGCGGAGCTATCTCAGCCGAGAGGCTGCTAGTTTGTTTATCAAGATCACATATTTTGTGAGGTGATTCTTTATTCACATGGTATTATTACCTAGTAAAAAGTCATGGTACTGAAACCTTTGAGGCTTGAACTTGAAAAGTTTTTCAAAGCCTACTAAGGTTGAATGGCCTTTATAGGAATAATATAGGAAATATCTGCTTTGTTTTAATCTGTTTGCATTTATTTTACAGGAAATAAAATTACAGAAGATGGTTTTGAGTCATTATTATTAGCCATACAATATCAGACAACATTAGCAATGATGGATCCTAAACCTGCACTTAAGGGACTTATGAGGGTATCATTAAATGTGAGTAGTACAGCATTTATAGTGTTGCCATAGTTAAAGTTGCTTCAAAACTTGTATCTTTGGAATTACTGCCAGATTCATCTTTCCAATTTGTTCAGAGAAAGTTCAGTTACTAGTAAATGGACAGTTTTAATCAAAGAAACAGTACTGTCCTAGTAAAGAGGCATTGTTCAGAACAAAGAAAGTACTTTGCTTGTAAACACTGACAATAAGTGATTTCTTAGTGAACACTGACAGAGATTGCTAAATAAAGAATAATGGTCAAAAGGCAATAAATATAACTTTAGTTATGCCCTCTGAAAATTGGTGAATCTTGATCGTCAATAAAGTTGCCACATTATCTAGAAAAGTTAACTACCTAATTACCCATAATTCTCCGACATCAATGATTATGCCAGTCATGCCACATAACAATAAACTGATTTATTTCTAATTTACAGAAAAATGCTGTTAAACCGACCAATGAGACTGCGATAAAACTACAAGAAATTATGGTGACCAAAGATCCTTTTTATAAACCCCCTTCACAAAGTCCAGACACAGATGCACAATCGCATGTTGGGCAGTAACACTGCCACCAAGTGGTTGCCTGTTAGTACTTTCGTTTTTATGTAATGAATTATATTGTAAATATATTATAATGAAAACGATATACTTTTGTACATTTTGGTTTGTATATAAATATCGCACATACTGTAATTAATAAATACCGATGTTATTTTAAGAGTGGTATTAAACTACATTTTATGCATATAATACGTCTGTTGGTTTTGGGGAAGAATGAAGTTAGTTGCTCAGTGGAATGAATAGACATTGCACAAAATTAGTCTAGTGTTGGGTATTACGGTAGTATTTTAAATCCCAGTTGTATAGTTAATCAAATTATTTGTTCACATAAATACAACATACCCTGTTGCATTAAGGGGCGGTTATTTGTCGTGCCACGCATGCGTGTGATATATATGGGTCTAATATAAACAAAGATGGCGACTTTGACTGTGGCACAGATCAACAAGTACAAACTGAGATGTTACCAAGCTTTAATTAAATATTTTTCAGGTGATTGGAAAGTATAAAAGGAGTCACTGGTGATAATTAGTGCAAGTCACACCCAGGTCAAACCTCATACTTGTGATTTCCATTAAAAGAGTGCATTGGATTGTGGGAAAATAAATGTTTATCAACACAAATGTGTCGCACATGCTCAGTGCGTTGACCACCGCCCTTTAACTTTATATAAAGGCTGCCCGGTAATTTAGTATTATGTACATGAAAATTACAATGAGAAAATGACCCAAAACACAGACTTGAATGCATCTATAACACAGTAAACATGCTAAAAAAACAGCAATGTTCAAATCGAAAATGTACTTTTCAAAATGTTGGGCAGGGTGTCCAACTGCAGTTGCAAATGACTTGTGTTTTCCATGATGAATGGCCTCTAATATAGCACGCTTATCATTGTTATGTCAAACAGTAACAGTCAAGGTTTTTTCCACAAGGAAACATAACTGCCTAAAAGTAAATAATGATCTGTAAAAGTTTGTATCGTAACACCACCATACTGAGATCAGATATAGCTTAGTCCATCGGATACCATGAGATCAATATTAATATTGACACAGCATAACTTTTCAAATATGAAAAAATATAAAAAGGAAAAAACTAAAACTTATGGTAAAAGCTGAATTCACTAGTACATACATAATTAGGGTAAACTGTAATTATTATAACCCATGTTGCATAGGAAGTTTTTTGTTTCAGATATAAAATTCATGTCCTTGTTTTTAAAGGTTTATTCTCCTGGACACAGACATTCTAACATAGGTGACACAAGACAAATATAAGCAAAGCTTTGTGAAATGCAGGACAAAATAAGCATCATCGCATTCGTAACACCTACAAGAGCAAACGTAAAATCAACCAGGTGGAAAAGCTGTACCTACTGCAAAAAAACACATTACTGATTGTGTAGTAGTCACCAACTAGATAGCACTCAGAGAAGATGCCAACCTGTGCTTGATTTAGTCAATATTCATATCAACACTCTGAGTCGCAGTTTTGACCTGAACATCTACTATAACCTTGAGCATTGACCTTAGAATTTAAGTATTTTGATCACAAAAGTTGTATGGCATTTTGTTCCTGAAAATGTGAGGGTTACACATTGCAGCCCAATGCTGAACATACGTACTGTGAACATTACATTTGACCTTTTGTTCTGAAAATGCACCCAGGTATTGAGTCTCAAGTGGAAGATGTCTGCCATGTCTTGAGACCCTGGCTATTCCCTCGTATGTATCATAAACTCATACAGGGTCTTGACCTGTAACCTCAGCATCTGGCTATGTCTTGGAAATCGTATACGGAACATTCAACATTCGTGTAATTTTTTAATAGCACTAGTTTTTACATAGCACATGATGTGACCTTGACCCTGTTGTGACCTACTTCATCAATGGTGTCAAAGACAAGGTCAAATAAATGCCAAAGGGGAAAACTCAACAAGTGGCAGAGCAAAAAAAAGGTCCAACAAATAGACTGAATGGAAACAAGCAAATTAAACAGATGCATTGTTTTTGATGAAGTACTACCATGGCATACATGTCTCAAATAGATTGGCCAGCCCCACATTGGAAGCAGACAAACACACAAGTAGTTCACTAAGACCAAAATGTGGAGCAACCTAGACAGGAGACGACTGTACACATTTAAGTCTTCAAAACCAACAAGCATATGGATATGCTTCAATATGCCAACATGTGTTAGTAATATTCTAAATTTATTCTAAAAGTGAATAAAGACAGAAACACAATATTAACAGAAAATTAGGTTTTTATTACATGATTTCTTGGCAAATATATACAAGCTGAAACAAAAATGGTTGAGTTTACTTGGTATTAGAAAAGAATAGATACACAAAGATTAAGGGTGTCCAAGTATGGTGAATGTTTTCATAAAAACAGGACACGTAACAGGGTTATAACCAGAATATGAAAATTGCTGGTCAAAAAACTGATAGATAGTAGGCACCAGTCTGTAACCACAGAAATGTTCCCAGTTTTTGTTGAAAATTTATGATTATTTTCTAATTTTAGATCAAAAGTGGACAGTCAAATAAAAACATGCACATGTCTAGAATGTCAGGTAGACAGGTGGCTGGCCTGCCATGTACAAACAACCCACAGTTTAATAAATACTCTTATGATGAGATGTCATACAGGGAATGCCCCACTAATGTGGCAGGGTCTTGCCTTTTTGCAAAAACTTGTTTCTCAATACATCAGATAAATGTGAAATAAACACTTTTCTCACTTTTAATGTTAAGTTCAGAGTTACATTGTAGAATCTGACTTATTTATAACTAGAATATAAAACCTTGATGGATGGATGGATGGCCTTGATTCATGTGAAACACTGTAGTGGCAACAAATTATACATGAGTGCAAATTTCCAAGCATTTTTTCTCATACCTGTAGTTGGCATAGTATTATTCAAATTAAATGTTTATGGCTATCACAATGCCACACAATAAAAAAAAAAATACATACTCTTCAAACTGTTTTTTTTTGACTGGTTTAATGATTGGTCAAATTGGATTTGTAAAACATCCATGTATGTATATTTGGCAGTGGTTCACATTTAATTACTACAGTTGGACAATCTGTTTATCAAGTCTCTATGCAGTTGAGGTTAGTGCTGATAACCACATGGTCTTGAAATATGGTATATCTGCATATAAACTATTGCAATATCAACACATGATAGGGATTGTTATTGTACTCACTTTGTACCAGTATTATTCATATGCAATAAGCTGCTAACTATTTACTGTACACGAGGGGGGGGGTGCCAATAAAACTGTGGCAAGGTGCAGTCCAGGACACAAAAATGATTGTAATATCAACAGATTTCAAATATAAACAATGATTTTGTTCGGATTTAAAAATGAGAAATGGAAACATATATTGCAAAATTACAATCAGTTGGAGAGTAAAAAATGTTTGATAGCATCATGTGCCAGCAGGTTTTGTTGACTCCATCTCTTAAAAAAAAGTCCTCCACATGGCAGAGTTATTGAAACCAAATACCAAACTGCTATCTTTCTTGAATGTATATAGTAAATAAAATGTATCGCTTGATCAAGTATATTTACTTTCCATTGGCAGTTGGACTTGCATAGGTAGACTTCTTCAGCAATACTAACATGTGCGCTATCATAGCTTGGGATCACTAAAAAAAATTAATATAAATATTGTAAGATGTATTGTGAAATGTTAAACTGATTATAAGATAACAAACTTAATATAAACACTACATACATGAGCATAACTTTGAGTATTATCATTTAGGCACCAGTTGGGAATTTTTGGTTGAATCACAAAATAAAATGACACACATATCACTGAGTTTGAACTTGAACTTCCACGACCCAAGTCAGACATGTACATATAACCGTTCAACACAAAATAATGTTAGAATACCTGAAAGTGGCTTAGTGTCATTGTTATTATCCATGCAAGTATTGCCAGCTAACAAATACCTACACATAAGCTTCAACACATGAATCAATGACTTTCATCAGTGCAGTATAGAAACCATATTTCGTGTTTTTGGGCAACATGATAGGGATGTGGAACCATCTTCTTATCATAATGACTTTATTGCATCACAACGTGCTATTCCTGGTTATCAACAGACCAGACTGAATGCATGCACCTAAGAACTTAAACCAACTTGTGAATAAAGATAGAGATATACTGTATTTTATCTCCTCATTAATGTGGCACATTCAGGAAACAGGTCAACTTTTTTTTTGGTATCCCACCCCAACCAATTTGGTTGAACTCACCTTTCATATCTTTGATAATCAAGTCGACCAATAATTTCTCGAACTGTTGATATAAGAGATTCATTTTCTTGGGGAGAGTCTAAAATAATTTGGTGAAGCTTGGTCATGTATGTATCAATTGTATTTAAAGTAGGTACTTCATTGGTGCCTGGAACAAAGCAAATAGTCACAGGTAATGTCAGTATGCTTGAAAACATCTTGATAGTGGTATTCTTAAAACATCACCTGCTGACTCACTGTTATATACTAGTCATATCAGCTTTCTATGGAGGCTTTCACCTGGTGATGTTAAAGTTTTACAATATGGATGAAAACTTATTTTTCAATTTTGTTGTTTGATAGTGCACATTGAAGTCCATCTGATTATGATTTATCATTCAAGTGGGAGGGTCGTCACATGCGCATGCGCGAGAGTCCCAAGCGATGATAGCAACACACGCTAAAAACGCAAAGGCTCATGCGCAGACGCTTGTTTGTAAACAATGACACACTATGGCCATCTGACCCATGCGCATGTGATGACTCCCTCGCTCTAACTATGAATTTTGGGTTTTAGGAGACACAACATTACTTGTTAGATGGAAAATCTACCTTTAATACACATCATGTGTATTGATTATTATCATACCCATCAAATACCCATAACCAGTGCACATGCATATTAGCAAAATTCATTATTTAATCAAAATCAAATTCAGATGTGTGCTACAATAGTTTTCAGTTCATGATAAATCAGTCCAATGTACTAGTATCTTTCAATATACAATAACAACAATATAAAAAATTAACATAAGAGCATCAAAACAATCTAAACAAACAGCTCCCATCTAATATAAACTCTTCTAAGTTAGACAACAATTATGCAAATGAGGTAATTTAGAGCCAAATTATGAATCTTTATTTTGAAGCACTTTTACATCACCACCTTTTTTTTCTATCTGTGCTATTATATACTACCGATAGTTACTTATTTCAGAAATGGTGAAATTTACAGAAAGCACAACACATCATAAATAGCGAATAAGAATAAAATGTTACAAAAGGTTGTTTATATAAGAAATTCAATAAAGAAGTTAGACATTTATAGAGAGATTTCACTACATCAGAATTTAAAGTCTCATAGTTGTAACACCACGGTGTTTAGGTCATCATACAAAACGTGTGTAAAAAGTTTGAAATTCAAACGTGTAGTTTGACAACTGCAATGCTTTACAATTATAGGAAAATCCATTATTTGAGGTACATGTAGCATGATAATATTTTGGCTACAAAATACTAGGAAAATTTCGAAGGCTGTAACTGAACCAATAGTGGCTGAAACCTAGACATCCTCTGAAAAGATTTAAAGCATGGTGGTCGCTGCGCAGCGCGTGTTCGAATTTCATGTAACAATGTATTTTACACACATTGCATACGTTGCTATGAGTTCCATAACAAACAGGACGCGGCACGACGACTGCCATCCTTTAAACTACCAGTATACATTTTTAGAAATGATTTGACTCGAAAATTTCAAAAATACTGTTTTCTGTCATCTATTTCAGTTTGCTAA